CGGCGAAGGGGGACGGTAACACTGGGGCCAGTAGTGGTGACCCCAGGCCCCCCAGGTGCCACCCACTAATGGGGACAGTGGGGATGGTGACACCAGGGCTGGTAACGGTGACCCCAGGCCCCCCAGGAGCCACCCGCTAATGGGGACGGTGACACCAGGGCCAGTAATGGTGACCCCAGCCTCCCTAGGAGCCACCCGCTAATGGGGACAGTGGGGACGGTGACACCGGGGCTGGTATAATGGTGACCCCAGGCCCCCCAGGTGCCACCCGCTAATGGGGACGGTGACACCAGGGCCAGTAATGGTGACCCCAGCCTCCCTAGGAGCCACCCGCTAATGGGGACAGTGGGGACGGTGACACCGGGGCTGGTATAATGGTGACCCCAGGCCCCCCAGGTGCCACCCGCTAATGGGGACGGTGACACCAGGGCCAGTAATGGTGACCCCAGCCTCCCTAGGAGCCACCCGCTAATGGGGACAGTGGGGACGGTGACACCGGGGCTGGTATAATGGTGACCCCAGGCCCCCCAGGTGCCACCCGCTAATGGGGACGGTGACACCAGGGCCAGTAATGGTGACCCCAGCCTCCCTAGGAGCCACCCGCTAATGGGGACAGTGGGGACGGTGACACCGGGGCTGGTATAATGGTGACCCCAGGCCCCCCAGGTGCCACCCGCTAATGGGGACGGTGACACCAGGGCCAGTAATGGTGACCCCAGCCTCCCTAGGAGCCACCCGCTAATGGGGACAGTGGGGACGGTGACACCGGGGCTGGTATAATGGTGACCCCAGGCCCCCCAGGTGCCACCCGCTAATGGGGACGGTGACACCAGGGCCAGTAATGGTGACCCCAGCCTCCCTAGGAGCCACCCGCTAATGGGGACAGTGGGGACGGTGACACCGGGGCTGGTATAATGGTGACCCCAGGCCCCCCAGGTGCCACCCGCTAATGGGGACGGTGACACCAGGGCCAGTAATGGTGACCCCAGCCTCCCTAGGAGCCACCCGCTAATGGGGACAGTGGGGACGGTGACACCGGGGCTGGTATAATGGTGACCCCAGGCCCCCCAGGTGCCACCCGCTAATGGGGACGGTGACACCAGGGCCAGTAATGGTGACCCCAGCCTCCCTAGGAGCCACCCGCTAATGGGGACAGTGGGGACGGTGACACCGGGGCTGGTATAATGGTGACCCCAGGCCCCCCAGGTGCCACCCGCTAATGGGGACGGTGACACCAGGGCCAGTAATGGTGACCCCAGCCTCCCTAGGAGCCACCCGCTAATGGGGACAGTGGGGACGGTGACACCGGGGCTGGTATAATGGTGACCCCAGGCCCCCCAGGTGCCACCCGCTAATGGGGACGGTGACACCAGGGCCAGTAATGGTGACCCCAGCCTCCCTAGGAGCCACCCGCTAATGGGGACAGTGGGGACGGTGACACCGGGGCTGGTATAATGGTGACCCCAGGCCCCCCAGGTGCCACCCGCTAATGGGGACGGTGACACCAGGGCCAGTAATGGTGACCCCAGCCTCCCTAGGAGCCACCCGCTAATGGGGACAGTGGGGACGGTGACACCGGGGCTGGTATAATGGTGACCCCAGGCCCCCCAGGTGCCACCCGCTAATGGGGACGGTGACACCAGGGCCAGTAATGGTGACCCCAGCCTCCCTAGGAGCCACCCGCTAATGGGGACAGTGGGGACGGTGACACCGGGGCTGGTATAATGGTGACCCCAGGCCCCCCAGGTGCCACCCGCTAATGGGGACGGTGACACCAGGGCCAGTAATGGTGACCCCAGCCTCCCTAGGAGCCACCCGCTAATGGGGACAGTGGGGACGGTGACACCGGGGCTGGTATAATGGTGACCCCAGGCCCCCCAGGTGCCACCCGCTAATGGGGACGGTGACACCAGGGCCAGTAATGGTGACCCCAGCCTCCCTAGGAGCCACCCGCTAATGGGGACAGTGGGGACGGTGACACCGGGGCTGGTATAATGGTGACCCCAGGCCCCCCAGGTGCCACCCGCTAATGGGGACGGTGACACCAGGGCCAGTAATGGTGACCCCAGCCTCCCTAGGAGCCACCCGCTAATGGGGACAGTGGGGACGGTGACACCGGGGCTGGTATAATGGTGACCCCAGGCCCCCCAGGAGCCACCCGCTAATGGGGACGGTGACACCAGGGCTGGTAACGGTGACCCCAGGCCCCCCAGGAACCACCCGGTGATGGGGACAGTGACCCCAGGGCCAGTAATGGTGACCCCAGCCTCCCTAGGAGCCACCCGCTAATGGGGACGGTGACACCAGGGCTGGTAACGGTGACCCCAGGCCCCCCAGGAACCACCCGGTGATGGGGACAGTGACCCCAGGGCCAGTAATGGTGACCCCAGCCTCCCTAGGAGCCACCCGCTAATGGGGACGGTGACACCAGGGCTGGTAACGGTGACCCCAGGCCCCCCAGGAACCACCCGGTGATGGGGACAGTGACCCCAGGGCCAGTAATGGTGACCCCAGCCTCCCTAGGAGCCACCCGCTAATGGGGACGGTGACACCAGGGCTGGTAACGGTGACCCCAGGCCCCCCAGGAACCACCCGGTGATGGGGACAGTGACACCAGGGCCAGTAATGGTGACCCCGGCCTCCCCAGGAGCCACCCGCTAATGGGGACGGTGACACCGGGGCTGGTAACGGTGACCCCGGCCTCCGTAGGAGCCACCCACTAATGGGGATAGGGAGGACGTTGACACTGGGGCTGGTATAATGGTGACCCCAAGCCCCCCAGGTGCCACCCGCTAATGGGGACGGGGACAC